GTGTCTCTCTTGCAGGGTTGCCCATCAGCACCTACGCCAAGTACTGCTACAACAAGTTGCAGAAGGCGGCGCTGACGGGAGCCAAGAAGGTGCGTCCAAGGGTTGGAGACCTGGAGACCTTCTGGGAACCTTCTGGGGTCCTTCTGGGGTCCTGGAGACCTTCTGGGAATCTTCTGGGGTCCTTCTGGGGTCCTGGAGACCTTCTGGGAACCTTCTGGTGTTGTCCTGGGGTCCTGGAGACCTTCTGGGAACCTTCTGGGGTCCTTCTGGGGTCCTGGAGACCTTCTGGGAGCCTCCTGGTGTCCTCCTGAGGTCCTGGAGACCTTCTGAGAACCTTCTGGTGTCCTTCTGGGGTCCTGGAGACCTTCTGGGAACCTTCTGGTGTCCTTCTGGGGTCCTGGAGACCTTCTGGGAACCTTCTGGGGTCCTTCTGTGGTCCTGGAGACCTTCTGGGAACCTCCTGGGGTCCTCCTGAGGTCCTGGAGACCTTCTGAGAACCTTCTGGTGTCCTCCTGAGGTCCTGGTGGGGGCAACCACCCCTGGCCAGGGCCACCAAGGGGCCACTAGGGTGTGGGGATGGGGCCTGGAGAGGGAGGAGGGTTGGAAGTTGGGGAGTGGTGGGAAGAGGGTGGTGGGTTGTACCAGAGCCGTGGTGAGAATGGTGGGGGGTGTCCAGCGTGGTTTGGTCTGATGGGAACCTTTTGGCAACCTTCTGGTGTCCTCCTGGGGTCCTGGAGACCTTCTGGGAACCTTCTGGTGTTGTCCTGGGGTCCTGGAGACCTTCTGGGAACCTTCGGAAGATCTTCTGGGGTCCTGGAGACCTTCTGGGAACCTTCTGGGGTCCTTCTGGGGTCCTGGAGACCTTCTGTGTCTTTTCTGGGGTCCTTCTGGGGTCCTGGAGACCTTCTGGGGTCCTTCTGGGGTCCTGGAGACCTTCTGGGAACCTTCTGGGGTCCTTCTGGGGTTCTGGAGACCTTCTGGGAGCTTCCTGGGGTCCTTCTGGGGTCCTGAAGACCTTCTGGGAACCTTCTTGTGTCTTTTCTGGTGTCCTCCTGAGGTCCTGGAGACCTTCTGGGAACCTCCTGGGGTCCTTCTGGGGTCCTGGAGACCTTCTGGGAACCTTCTGGGGTCCTTCTGGGGTTCTGGAGACCTTCTGGGAGCTTCCTGGGGTCCTTCTGGGGTCCTGAAGACCTTCTGGGAACCTTCTTGTGTCTTTTCTGGTGTCCTCCTGAGGTCCTGGAGACCCTCTGGGAACCTTCTGAAGATCTTCTGGGGTCCTTCTGGGATCCTCCTGGGAACCTTCTGGGCTCTTTCTTGAGACCTGGGGATTTTCTTGGAACTTTCTTGGACTTATTTGGGTCTTTATGGAGACCTTCTGGGGACCACCCAGAAACCTTCTGAGGTCCTTCCCAAAGTTCCCCATCACCAAGAGATGATGGGATCGATCCTGGGAGCAGAGGTTGCTTCACTCTCCTTGTGCTGTGGGGATGGAGAAGACCCAGTGGGACCTTCCTTAGTCCACAGCAGCTCCTGGTGATGTTGGCCAAGACCAAGTCCTGTAGTGGAAGGGGACATGTCACCCACTGGGCTCACCAAGGGGCCATTGATAGTCCCCTGCTCACCTTTGGACATGTCCAATGTGTCCATCTCCTCCATCCCACCACCCTCATTTCCACTGCATCCATCTCCTCCATCCCACCCCCCTCACGTCCACTCCATCCATCTCCTCCATCCCACCACACACATCCACTCCATCCATCTCCTCTCCTCCATCCCACCCCCCTCACGTCCCCTCCATCCATCTCCTCCATCCCACCCCCCTCACGTCCACTCCATCCATCTCCTCCATCCCACCACACACATCCATTCCATCCATCTCCTCTCCTCCATCCCACCCCTCTCACGTCCCCTCCATCCATCTCCCCCATCCCACCCCCCTCATGTCCCCTCCATCCATCTCCTCCATCCCAC